TGTGAACTAGATTATTGACTCTAGTGCAAGTGGGAGACTGAAGGAAATATGCCCGAGAGGCAATAATAAAGTTGTTATTTATATTTCCTTATATCATTATAAATGTTTATTATTCATGCTAGAATTGTACTAACCGGAAACTTAGTGCCGGTGTGAATACATAGACAAATAAAGTGCCCTAGCTAGTATGCCTCTACTTGACTGGCTCGTTAATCAAAGATGGTTATGTTTCCTGACCATAGACATGTGTTGTCATTTGATGAACGGGGTCACATCATTAGAGAATGATGTGATTGACAAGACCCATCCGTTAGCTTAGCACTATGATCGTTTAGTTTGTTGCTATTGCTTTCTTCATAATTTATACATGTTCCGATGACTATGAGATTATGCAACTCCCGAATACCGGAGGAACACTTAGTGTGCTATTAAACATCACAACATAACTGGGTGAATATAAAGATGCTCTACAGGTGTCTCCGATGGTGTTTGTTGAGTTGGCATAGATCGAGATTAGGATTTGTCACTCCGATTGTTGGAGAGGTATCTCTGGGCCCTCTCAATAATGTACATCACTACAAGCCTTGCAAGTAATGTAACTAATGAGTTAGTTACAAAATGTAGTATTACGGAACGAGTAAAGAGACTTTTCGGTAACAAGATTGAACTAGGTATGATGATACCGATGATCGAATCTTGGGCAAGTAACATACCGATGACAAACGGAACAATGTATGTTGTTATGCGGTTTGACCGATAAAGATCTTCATAGAATATGCAGGAACCAATATGAGCATCCAGGTTCCACTATTGGTTATTGACCAGAGATGAGTCTCGGTCATGTCTACATAGTTCTCGAACCCGTAGGGTCCGCAAGCTTAACGTTCGGTGACGATCGGTATTATGAGTTTATGTGTTTTGATGTACCAAAGGTAGTTCGGAGTCCCGGATATGATCACGGGCATGACGAGGAGTCTCGAAATGGTCGAGACATAAAGATCAATATATTGGATGACTATGTTTGGACATCAGAATGGTTCTGGGTGAGTTCAGGCATTTACCGGAGTACCGGGAGGTTACCGGAACCCCCTGGGGAGTGTATGGGCCTTATTGGGCCTTAGTGGGAGACAGGAGGAGGCGGCCTAGGAGGGGGCGCCCCCCCCAAGCCCAATCCGCATTGGGAGGGGGGGTCGGCCCCCCTTTCCTTCCTCCCTCTCTCCTCCTTCCTTCCTCTCCTACTCCTACTTGGAAGGGGGGAATCCTACTCCCGGTGGGAGTAGGACTCCCCTAGGCCGCGCCATAGAGGGTCGGCCCTCCCCCCTCCTCCACTCCTTTATATACGGGGGAGGGGGCACCCCATAGACACACAAGTTGATCATTGTCTTAGCCATGTGTGGTGCCCCCCTCCACCATAATCCACCTTGGTCATACCGTAGCGGTGCTTAGGCGAAGCCCTGTTCCGGTAGCTTCATCATCACCGTCATCACACCATCGTGCTGACAAAACTCTCCCTCGACACTCAGCTGGATCTAGAGTTCATGGGACGTCACCGAGCTGAACGTGTGCAGATCGCGGAGGTGTCGTACCTTCGGTACTAGGATCGGTCGGATCGTGAAGACGTATGACTACATCAACCGCGTTGCCATAACGCTCCCGCTTACGGTCTACGAGGGTACGTAGACAACACTCTCCCCTCTCGTTGGTATGCATCACCTAGATATATCTTGCGTGTGCGTAGGATTTTTTTGAAATTGTTGTGTTCCCCAACACAAAACCACTAGATTGTCGATCTGGACAAAAGTCAACGACAATTCCTTTCTCGTAGCCCTTCGAATGTGGTTCATAACTTCACATGCTCTAGACAGTGCTAGCCCTACCAGTAATTGCATACCATATAGTTTTCTATTTAGAGTCCTTGCAGGTTCAAAGCCTTGAAGGTGAGTGGGTCTGTTGGTCTCAACACCCATCTATCAACCACACTAGGCTCAGTGTTCATGAATGTCATACTTGTCATAGGTTTAAGGAAAAATTTCATAAATGCCATCAGAGTCTCTAGTGTAAGGCATACCCAAGTGATTGTTGGGCACCTCGACTCCTCATCCATCCATGAATGTTGACCAATATGGTGTGTTTCTTTAATACATTGAGCCTCCATTTCCCAAATTTAATTTGAAAGAATTTGTGTGGAATGGCACACCAATAATGGCGTTGGTGCACAAAGCACAGTGCAGTAGCTATTTGGCATGGAACTTCGACGTTTTGCACTATATACTATGTTACGAATGATCATGTAGAAGGTGGTTGGATGTATTCCTGTGAAATTGGCTTGGTATTAAATGAAGAGGCTTGATGTGCATGGAGTTTTTAGAGCGATTGTTTTGGATGGTGGTGTGGTGATGGTCCATAGAAGAGAGGGTGATAAATCAGTTTACTCATCTACACGAAGTAGGATAGACCATGTATGGATTGCACTAGTAGCTCCATGGATGACCTGCACACATTTAAAAGATTGGACATGTTAAAGACAAGGTCATTACATCAATTTCATTTTCTCACACTAAAGCACACAAACATTGACACATATGCGCCTTAAGTTTGGAGTGGACTGTCCCCAACCAGTTACTGTACATATTCACCATGCTTGGAGGAGGTAAATTAAACACAACGTGTAGCACGCGCCATAGCAACATCACAAATGGGATAGATCAAAACAAAGGATATTCGTCCTGATCACAAAATGAACACTTCGTACATCCTTGCCACCTACGTTTGGCCAAGTTATCTTTGATCAGGATTAAACCTTAACCTCTAAACCTTAAATCCTAAACCAGGCCAATGGGACTTTTAATTTCCACATATATTTATTTCTAAGAACCAGGCCAATGTTACTTTTGTGCTTGCATAAAAGTTTTTCATGATATTTATAACAACTGAGTCTTTCATGTATTTTTTGTTCTCTAAAAGTGCATGATCTTTTTTTTAATAGTTACTGTAATCTAACATGATATTCTACGATGAGTTACATATGCATGCTTACAGTTTGTCTGGATGTACTGTATGTTTGAATTAATGTATAGTTGTTTTTTATAATTTTCTTCCTTTGCAGTAATATTCAAGGTCAGAAAATACGTGAACAAATTAGAACATACTCCATATTTGTACATTTTAAGAGAACTATTATAGTCAATATTTTAGTGAGAGAAACATGAAACTAATTTATTTATTTTTGACGAGGGAAACATGGAATTATTTCACACAAAAATGAGGGATCATGGAACTATCTTAATTGAATGTTTTTTTAGGGGTACTATTTTAATTGAATGTCTTTTGTGTTTGCACGATCACTAGTAGCCCAAACAGAAGACATACCTGTTCCTGCTATTTCAACGGCAGGCCCAGCCCAATTCCCATGCCCTCAACCGAACTGCCTGACTCTCTCGGCCTTGGAACGGAAAAACAACTCTCTCCTCTCTCGAAAAAAAAAAGCTGGCTCGCTCACATTTCAGGCGCGGGCGCAACGAGGGCGCCCCAAGGCGGCGGCGGCGGCGGCGGCGGCAACCACGACCCACGCTCAGGCGGCGCATAGGCCCTGGGTTTGCTGTCCAAACGGCGGCGAGCCGGCGATTACCAGAAGATCTACGGGCAACGAACGATCTGGTGAGTTGAGATCTTCCGTTGCGTTCTCCTAATTTACGCATCCAGCAGTTTAGGAACTGGGGACTTGGGGAGCGAATCTACAACATGAAATCAGTTACCAGTCTAGAGGATTGAGCGATTAGTAAAGGAGAACCAGAATGGTACAACTTCGTTCAACCTGTATTAACGGAGAGCTAGTATTGGTGCGGTGAATCTTGTGAGAAGTGGCGGACCCAGGAATTCAAGTTAGCCGGGGCGAACATTTAACGTCTAAATTTTTTTCGCTACAAATGCAACTCTATTCAACTAGAACTCATAACATTCAACAACAAAAGCATACAAAAGGTCTTCAAAACTACCCCTCTGATCCATATTATTGTTCTAAATCGGCGACAATTAATATTTGTACCAAATCGGCGACAATTAATATGGATCGGAGGGAGTAGCAAACTACTGACATGGACTCTTGTTGCTTGAAATGCTGACTTGATGCCACAATAAGATCCCATAATTTCAAATGAGACCTACAAAATTATGAATGTATTAGCACAAGTCTGACGGTGTACTTGCATAAAGAACACGGGGATGTATATTTTGATATGATCATATGATTATGGTATACCTTTAAGTCTGGCAGCGGCGCAACACGCGAATTGGGGATATTTTTTTGTTTGAGGAGAGTTGTCGATTGGGCATTTGGGCCTGTAGTAAACGTAGCCCAGTACACTAGTCCAGCCCAAATCTATTTCTCCCTCGTAGGCTCGTATCCCTTGACGCAGTCACGTAGAACAGCGCCGCCGCCACAATGAATTGCTCGCTGCTTGCTGTCTGACGCGTGCCGCAGGAAACAGGAGGAAGGATATGTAGGGGTGCCGATTTTTCCACCGCCCGCGACCCGGGGCGGCCGCCCCAGCTCGCCCCAATGATGGGTCCGCCACTGCTTGTGAGGGACAGCTTCCCAAAAAAAATGTGAAATTTGTGTGGCCTGTCAACACATGAGCCAAGATGCATCCCGCTGTAACTGAGAAAGTACTCCCTCTGTACCAAATTATAAGATGCTGTAACTTTTTTCCAAATTGGATGTATATAGATGAGTTTTAGTGTGTTTGTTGGCTCATTTCAGTCCGTATGTAGTCCATATCGAAATATCCAAAACTTCTTATAATTCAGAACAGAGGTGATACAGTGTAATCATTCGTATAGGTGGCACGAGAAGCCGTCAGGGTGATCCTGTTGCTTGCCTAAACATTTTGCAGTCTTCTATTCGGGTATCAAACTACCCTGCTTTATCAAAGACGCTAGCTAACACACTCAACTCACAGGCTTTCTTTTCTGTGTAGGAAATGAGGAATGTGAAAGCTAGAATGGCCACGCACCAAGTGGAGCCAGGCGCTTCTCTGCGCCATGGCGGCCACAGTCGTCGCCTATCCAGACGCCTTGCTGATCCTGCCCAATCCACATGGGCATCACTGCACACAGACCTGCTCGACCTGATTGCCAGTCGGGTACTCGCCAGCGACCTGTTGGACTACGTCCGGTTCCGTGCAGTGTGCTTAGGATGGCGTGTCACGACTCCTTGCCCACGCGGTCGAGGCATGGTCGACCCGTGCTTCCACCCACGACAGTGGATGATGTTCCCAGAAGGTGGCGGTCTGTACCCAGGCCACCCTGCACTACTTGGCTATGTACGCTTCTTCAACCTTTTGACCGGCACCTTCGTTCACGTCAGACTCCCTTGCTTCAGAAACCACTCTGTGCTTGACTGCCCTGACGGCCTCCTTCTCCTGCGGCACAACAAGAGCACTGTCATCTGCCTTCTCCACCCCTTTACAGGCGACGTCGTTTTGTTCCCGCCACTTTCTCCATCTTCCCTCAGCTGGCCAAGTTAGGGTGCTTCATCAGTGACTTTAGCAAGATTCAGGACACCCGGTTTGTCTGCGCGCCCGTCTCCGTCAATCTGGTTGGTACTGTCACCATGATGCTCGCGTTGACTGGCCTTGATCGTGTGGCGTATGCATCCACCGGTGACCGGCAGTGGACTCCTACGAGCTGGAAAATGAAACACTTGTACTCGGCATTGCTCAAGGGGGAGGTAGCTCAGGTGTTCAAGGAGAGGGTATTTAAGGAGGGCCCTTGGAAGGAAGGAGGGGATGCGGACAATGTGTGGATGAAGATGGCGACTTGCATTCGTAAGGTGGCCTCGGAGGAGTTTGGAGTGTCCAGGGGAAGGGGAAGCGAAGATAAGGATACCTGGTGGTGGAATGATGATGTCCAGAAGGCGCTTAAAGAGAAGAAAGATTGCTTCAGACGCCTATACCTGGATAGGAGTGCAGACAACATAGAGAAGTACAAGATGGCGAAGAAGGCCGCAAAGCGAGCTGTTGGTGAAGCAAGGGGTCGGGCATATGAGGACCTCTACCAACGGTTAGGCACGAAGGAAGGTGAAAGGGACATCTATAAGATGGCTAAGATCCGGGAGAGGAAGACGAGGGATATTGGCCAAGTCAAATGCATCAAGGACGGAGCAGGCCAACTCTTGGTGAAGGACGAAGAGATTAAGCATAGATGGCGGGAGTACTTCGACAAGCTGTTCAATGGGGAGAATGAGAGTTCTACCATTGAACTGAATGACTCCTTTGATGAGACCAGCATGCGTTTTGTGCGGCGCATCCAGGAGTCTGAGGTGAAGGAGGCTTTAAAAAGGATGAAAGGAGGCAAGGCGATGGGCCCTGATTGTATCCCCATTGAGGTGTGGAAAGGTCTCGGGGACATAGCGATAGTATGGCTAACCAAGCTTTTCAACCTCATTTTTCGGGCAAACAAGATGCCAGAAGAATGGAGACGGAGTATATTAGTACCAATCTTCAAGAACAAGGGGGATGTTCAGAGTTGTACTAATTACCGTGGAATTAAGCTGATGAGCCATACAATGAAGCTATGGGAGAGAGTCATTGAGCACCGCTTAAGAAGAATGACAAGCGTGACCAAAAATCAGTTTGGTTTCATGCCTGGGAGGTCGACCATGGAAGCCATTTTCTTGGTACGGCAACTTATGGAGAGATATAGGGAGCATAAGAAGGACTTGCATATGGTGTTCATTGACTTGGAGAAGGCCTATGATAAGATACCACGGAATGTCATGTGGTGGGCCTTGGAGAAACACAAAGTCCCAGCAAAGTACATTACCCTCATCAAGGACATGTACAATAATGTTGTGACAAGTGTTCGAACAAGTGATGTCGACACCGATGACTTCCCGATTAAGATAGGACTGCATCAGGGGTCAGCTTTGAGCCCTTATCTTTTTGCATTGGTGATGGATGAGGTCACAAGGGGTATACAAGGAGATATCCCATGGTGTATGCTCTTTGCGGATGATGTGGTGCTAGTTGACGATAGTCGGACGGGGGTAAATAGGAAGTTAGAGTTATGGAGACAAACCTTGGAATCGAAAGGGTTTAGGCTTAGTAGAACTAAAACCGAGTACATGATGTGCGGTTTCAGTACTACTAGCTGTGAGGAGGAGGTTAGCCTTGATGGCCAGGTGGTACCTCGGAAGGACACCTTTCGGTATTTGGGGTCAATGTTGCAGGAGGATGGGGGTATTGATGAAGATGTGAACCATCGAATCAAAGCCGGATGGATGAAGTGGCGCCAAGCTTCTGGCATTCTCTGTGACAACAGAGTGCCACAAAAGCTAAAAGGCAAGTTCTACAGGACGGCGGTTCGACCAGCAATGTTGTATGGCGCGGAGTGTTGGCCGACTAAAAGGCGACATGTTCAACAGTTAGGTGTGGCGGAGATGCGTATGTTGAGATGGATGTGTGGCCACACGAGGAAAGATCGAGTCCGGAATGATGATATACGAGTTAGAGTTGGGGTAGCACCAATTGAGGAGAAGCTTGTCCAACATCGTTTGAGATGGTTTGGGCATATTCAGCGCAGGCCTCCAGAAGCTCCAGTGCATAGCGGACGGCTAAAGCGTGCGGAGAATGTCAAGAGAGGGCGGGGTCGACCGATTTTGACATGGGAGGAGTCCGTTAAGAGAGACCTGAAGGATTGGAGTATCGACAAAGAGCTAGCTATGGACGGGTGCGTGGAAGCTTGCTATCCATGTGCCAGAGCCATGAGTTGGTTGCGAGATCTTATGGGTTTCACCTCTAGCCTACCCCAACTTGTTTGGGACTAAAGGCTTTGTTGTCGTTGTTGTTGTACTCGGCATTGCCATTCGGTGGCAGCCTCTATGTGGTGGATGGAGGGTGGGGTCTCGAACCATCGCGCATCCTGCGCATCAATCCTCCAGAAGATTCCAACCTCTCCTCATGGTCAGTGATACCACCACAAATGGTCACCCAATGTCCAGTGAAACTGTTGAGGATGCTTCAACTGGTAGAGTGCAACTCCGAGCTGCTTTTGGTTGGCTGTGACAGTGGACACTCAAGGATTGTGCTTTTCCGGGTTGCTGACCTTCTAAATGGAGTCACCACCATGCAGCTGACAAGCATCGGTGATCAAGCCGTCTTCATCGGCGGATGGAACATGGCTGTTAACTCCAAGAGCCTGCCATCCGTCCAGGGGAACTCCATCGCCGTTGTCAATGAAATAGGTGGTGGTCTTGCAGGCAGGGGAACTCTACCGCTATACGATCTTGGCAGCGGTACCTGGTCACAGGTGTTTGACGGACACTTCCTCGATGGACCCGTGCCTAGGCCGTACAGCCTTGTCCTCCACGTCGCAACCTGCTGCCAGCGCCTTTACTGGAACAGTGGGAAAATCTTGTGTTTCAACACAGACGTATGACTAGGAGCCGAGGAGTGAAGTGTGGAGGGGAGCACACGTAAGTGTAAATAGAATCTGCACTGATCAACGAGATGTTTCTTTGATTTTCTAGTGGTTACACCTGCTGAAAGAGTCTTTGTTATGCATGTTATCCCGTAGCTTTACCAGCATCCAGCACAAAGAGCAGTGGGTTCAGTCCATATCTATCTATTTATACTATATCTACTCAATATTGTGTTATCGGTCCAGGATGTATAATTGTCCTAAAATTGTTGTGCACCCTTCAGCTCGGAGACCATGTTTTTGTCATATATGCACTTTGAGAAATTAATTGTGCTTCTTTTTTGTTATATCAGATTATAATCTAGCTTGATTCAGTGGTATGCATACATTATCTGTAATGATGTGTTAGCATTCTCGCTATTTTGTTCTTTTGGAAGACAAAAGTTGATCTTTCAGGTTCGGGCTCTGAATCTGAACCGAGTCCACACCTTCATTGCCTCATTCTCGTTCCTCCTCGTTGCAATCATTCTCTCTGCTTGGTGATGCCCGAACAAGGAGACCACACCTATTTGATCTCATGTACTTTTGCTTTGTTTAGTTCTCTTTGTATGTATTGTCTGCTTATTTAATCTTTTCTTCTAGCTTATTCTGCATCAAGCTTGAAACAGTTCATGATAACACCCCTGCTATGTAGAATGTAGCAATTGTTTTTTCTTTTTTTCTTGAAACTTGCTGATTAACTAGAGATGGTTCTGCACTTTTCTAATGGTCACACCTGGAAGAGTCTTTGCTATGCAGGTTATTTGCATGAAGCACAAAGAGCAGATCCATATCCATGGTGTGTGTCTTCTCAATCTTGTGTTATTTCATTTCAGCATGTATAACTGTCCCAAAACTGTTGTGCGTCTTTCGTCTTGGAAACCATGTGTTTTATTTAGCTAAAGTGATGTGACCCGCGGTACCATGAACATATTATCATATGTGCACTTGGGAAACTGAGTGTGCTTCTTTTTTGTTAGATAAGACTAGAATCTAGCTGTCAGTGGTATGGATACATTATCTATAATGATGTGTTAGCATTCTCGCTATTTGTTTTTTTGGAAGGCAAAAGTTGTTGTTTCCGATTTGGGCCTCAAATCACTGATTGATACATTATCTCATGTGCTTTTGTACTGTTTAGTTCTCTTTGTTATGTAATGTGCGCTTATAATATACCGTTTTCATCTAGCCTATTTTCTGACAAGCTTGAAATAGTTCACGCTAACACCCCTGCTATGTACTAGAATGTAGCAATCCCTTGCTTTTTTCTTCTTGAAACTCGTCAATTCTAGGCACACATTTTTTGTACCAATATTGCAAATTTTATGTAGAATGTAGCGATTGCTTGTTTCTTTCTTAAAACTTGTGGATTGTAGATGCACATTTGTTTGTACTACAACAGCACAAACTGAAAGTTTAAGGTTCCATTTTTAGGGCTTCATTTTAGACCATGCACCACAGTCCAGGGTCTAAATAGGATTTATTTTCCCTTTGAAACAATACACTTTACTTATCGTTCACCAGCTCTGATAGCATTCGTATGTATATTTTTGTAAAAACAAATTTGGTTTTGTTTTACACGACATGGTTAAGAACAACTCACCTATGGCTGGTAACCCCATCCCAAGATCAAAGCCAGGTTTGACGCACTCTCGTGTCCCTATAAAAGTGGATTAGTTTTTCAGTAGGAGGCGACGTTCTTGTCGATAGCAGGCGCTATTGGGGACTTTGTCAATCTTGAACATCTGTAAATGCAGTCATCAGTAGACACTGTGTCAGTGTGTTTGTGTGTGAGCGCACACCTCTACGTTTTAGTTGGTATTTCTTAAAAATAAAGCATCCATTACGACATTGATTATGAGAAAACCAATCACTTCAAAAAGGATCATGAGATAACCAACCATTCGAAGCAATGTCCCTTCAAGATTTTTTTTGAGAGGTGATTCTTTGTATTTTTGGTAACTGTGGAATTTGTGATCTGTTTATAACAAGGCATGGTGGAGTAGTAAATAGCTGGATACTTAACCTCTCAACATCCCACTAAGACCTAACTGACTTAATGAAGGCTCATCAGTGGCTTAATTGGGACAGGTAGACTAATCTATCGTGAGCATGACTGGTTTTACCCACACTTGTTTACTTGCATGGTACTACTATACTAGTTCAGGAACCTCCTAAGATTTTTACTGCCAACTCATGGAACCTCATCCTATGGTTTTTACCTTGTGGAGGTATGCAAAAAGAAGAGGATAATGAAACTTTCCACTGCAAATGCGCCCTTTAGAAGCCAGGATAAATAACTGCGCTGTTGCCCGGCCAGGCGCTGTGCCGACTGCCGGTGCCGGAAGAAGGAAAAACAAAGATCCGGTAGGTGGACATTTGGCAACTGCTGCTGCTGCTACTAGTAGAACCTTTCAGCCGGCCGCAGCCACCATCGTCTCACTCACTCCCACTCCCCGCCCCCGCCATTCTCACGTCTTTCTCCTCCCCCTCCTCCTCCCTTTTCACCACTTCAAGGTTCGTCAGGCAATCACCGGCAGGGACCTTCCTCCGCTGGAGCAGCGCATGGCGTCGCGGCGCGCCGCGCACCGCCGGCTCATGGGCACGTCGTCGTCGTCGTCCCCGGCGCCGTCGGGCGACGGCGAGGCGGCTGCGGGGCGCGGGTCGAGCCAGGAGGCGATGAAGATAATGGTGTCCGTGCTGGTGGTGGTCATCTTCTGCACGCTCTTCTACTGCATCTACTGCTGGCGCTGGCGGAAGCGCAACGGTACGTGCATCCTCCGCCGTCTCTGACTGGACCGGCTTGCTTCTTCTTGGTTACTTTACGTACTGGGAGTGAAGTAGGAATGCGAATCTTATTTATGTTGGTCGCTCTTCAGCCGTGAGGAGATCGCTGCTCCAGAGCCTGCGGCCGATGTCGAGCTCCGACCTGCCGCTCATGGACCTCGCCTCCATCCACGCCGCCACCGACAACTTCTCCAAGGCCAACAAGCTCGGCGAGGGCGGCTTCGGCCCTGTCTACAGAGTACGTGCTTTACCTACCACAGTTGATTAGTAGTATTAATCAAGAATCATCTGCTCTGCAATTTAGCAGTAGTCTCTTACTAGCTAGTCCCTAGTGTACTTAACATTTGTGTAGAGAGCTCAGCCTCTCCCGCCATTTCTGTCTATGCTGAACCGAGCTTTGATTGTCATGTGAACCAACCAACCAAAGGGCGTGCTGACGGGCGGGTCGGAGATCGCGGTGAAGCGGCTGTCGGCGCGGTCGCGGCAGGGCGCGGCGGAGTTCCGGAACGAGGTGGAGCTGATCGCCAAGCTGCAGCACCGCAACCTGGTGCGGCTGCTGGGCTGGTGCGCCGAGCGCGACGAGAAGCTGCTCGTCTACGAGTACCTCCCCAACCGCAGCCTCGACGCCTTCCTCTTCGGTGCGTCCCTTTCCCTGCCCCTTTCACCCGTCTCATCCATTCCGGTTGGTAGCTAAGCTCGGAAAGAAAAGAGCTCGAGGAGGAGGGGCGGTGGTTGAAACCTGCGGCGTCGCGCCATTAACTCCCTCCCTCGTTTGGTTAATGGGGGCCAGCCGGTGCCGTGCCTGCCTACTGCCCGGCGATCCATGGACCGCGCAATTAAATCGAGCAATCTGTCATTGATGAACCGACTGGCGACGTACTACGTACTGATCGCAACCTGTAAGTGGCCGGATAATTATCGCGTGACGCGCACTGCGAGCGACCTGCACGCCACATGGTACTAACTGCGCCCCAAGTTTTTCGGCCGGACAACGAGATCCTTAATTAATCGGTTGCTGGTGATCTCTACGGGATGTAGGTAGTACGTTTGCTGTGTTGGTCGATCCCTGATCACTCAGAGTTTTGACTAATTAACTGTTACTGTTACCACTTTGCTGATTAGACGCAAGCAAGAGCGCGCAGCTGGACTGGAAAACCCGGCACAGCATCATCCTGGGCATCGCGCGCGGGCTGCTCTACCTGCACGAGGACTCGCTGCTCAAGGTCGTCCACCGGGACCTCAAGGCCAGCAACGTGCTCCTCGACAACAAGATGAGGCCCAAGATCTCCGACTTCGGCATGGCCAAGATCTTCGAGGACGAGTGCATCGAGGTTAACACCGGCCGCGTCGTCGGAACCTAGTAAGCGATCCGACCACCTCCATTACTGTGCAGTGTTGGCCGGCCGTACTGCATGCATGCTTACTCACCTGAATCCCGGTCACCATGCAATGCAGCGGGTACATGGCGCCGGAGTTCGTGATGGAGGGCGTGTTCTCGGTGAAGTCGGACGTGTTCAGCTTCGGGGTCCTTCTCATCGAGATCCTCGGCGGCAAGCGGAACGGCGCGCTCTACCTCGAGGAGCACGAGCAGACCCTCATCCAAGACGTACGTACATAATAGTCTCTCAAGAACTCTACTGGTATCACTGCCATTATCTACTGGTAAGTTTCAGCACTGAGCTGCTGCTCTGTGTTGGTGCAGGCATGGAAGAGCTGGACGGAGGAGAAGGCGGCCGAGTTCATGGACCCGGCGCTGGGGCGGGCCTACTCCAAGGAGGAGGCGTGGCGGTGCTTCCACGTGGGGCTCCTCTGCGTGCAGGACGACCCGGAGCTCCGGCCGACCATGTCCAGCGTACTGCTCATGCTCATCAGCGACCACATGGACCTGCCCGCGCCGGCCAGGCCGCCCATGTTCACCCGGCTGAGGACCTTCCCGGCGGCGATGATCCCCTTCTCCACCAAGACCGAGTCCACCTTCTCGCCCCAGTCCATCAACGACGTCTCCATCACCGTCGTCGAGCCGCGATGAGGTTGATGGCGCCCTTTTGTTGTTGTGTACATACTGCTAGCAGCTGAAATGTTCTTCCAGAAGGCCGGCCGCCGTTGGATTTTTGTAGTTATGGTGAAAGTGCGTACACACCGCGGCACAAAGCTTCGTGCAGACGGTGACAGAGTGAGATCCATGGCGAATTGGGTACACATGATTGGGTTGTTTTTCCCGTTGATTAATTCCTGTGTCAAGAAAAGAAAAGAACCCATTGGCATAGAAACAGTTCTTTTTTCCCTTCTGTTTTGAGCATTTTCCGTGACAATTTGGGTAGTGTATCAGGGAAACTCAGGGTTTGGTGTCCAGAAGCTTCAGAAAGTGGAGTGTGACGCTGAAAGTGTTGCAGTGTGGACAGAAGGTCCGCTGAACTTTTGTCTGGGCGATTGACCCAGCTGGGAAAGAGGAGCGACCGAACGAGATTCCCCATTTCTTTCACCCTCGTAGTGACCGGAGCGAGTAGGACTTTAAGACTTGCTGTGCCACTTTGTTGGTCCACTGCTCACACCAAGCGAAAGGTGCTGTTGTTAACTTTGTTAGATTCAGACCAACGCTTTGTTGGCTCAGGTTTCGTGGACCTTGTGCTGGAGAAATGGGCTTTGGCTTGCAGCCATCCTTTTGGTCCCTTGACAGATGCAATGAATCCATGGCAGCATTGTATTAGGAGGCTGAGACACCACCCTAGATGGTGGGCGGGGCTAACCTTGGTGGTGCCCTTGAGTCCAAAAAGACCGCCTTAGTTGGTAAGATCCAGGAATTCGATTTGTTAGACGATGGCCTTGGGTTATCCGAGGCGGAGTGGGCTCTTAGATATAGCATTGAGGATGATACGGTTTTCATCATGCGCTGTGAAGAAATATACTCGCAGCATTGAGGATCCCAAACTTGAATGGGAAAGGGAGACCTCAATACCGCGTACTTTCAGGCAATGGCCAACGGCAAGCGTACAAGATGCAGTATCGTTGCGCTTAGGGATGGTCCCAATAATGTTACTGAACATGAGGCGTTACAAAAGGCACATGTATTCCTTTTATAGGGAGTTGCTCGCCTCGGGTGAACGTGGCGGCCCTAAGTTAAGGAGGGGTCTGCTAGTGCCATCGAAAATGATACATTAACTGCCCCTTTGTTGGCCAAGGAGTTAGAGGTGGCTCTTACGGGCACACGTACTAATACTGCACCAAGACCAAATGGTTCTCAATGTCTTTTTATTAAAAAAATTGGCCCATGGTGGGACTACAAATGTTTGAGTTGCTTCATGACTTTACCAAAGGTAGGATTGACATCATCTAAACTATGCTATTATCACTTTGCTTCCCAAGGTCCCAGGAGCATACTTTATTAAGCAATTTCGACCCATTGCTTTGATCAATGCAACATTTAGTCTACTCGTCAAAGGGTTTGCAACGCGGTTATCACCGGTTGCCAACCAGGTCACAGATTCGAGCCAATCTGCCCTTATTTAAGGTAGACGTATCCTTGAAGGCATTTTGGTTCTCCATGAAGTGCTACAATCTGCACACAAGTCAAGAAGGAAAACGTCTTTATCCTCAAACTAGACTTCGAGAAAACGTATGATCATGTCAGTTGGGAGTTCTTGGAAGGAGTTATCCATCGAAAAGGTTCTGGCCCATTATGGGTTAGCTGGATTATGCAGCTTCTCATTTGCGAGCAAACCACCATTAACATTAATGGGGAGCCCGGTCCCTTTTTCCGAAACTTGAGGGGTGTTCGGCAAGGTGACCCGATACCCTTCTCCTTGTCAACCTAGTAGTTGACGCCTTGGCTATCATCTTAGAGGGTGCTAAGACAGTCGAGCATATTCATGGAGTGTTCCCTGAAGTCCACGAGGGCGGAAACTTGCAATATCTAGACGATACCCCCGTCATGCTCAAGAAAAACCAAGTCAGTTTGATCAATCTTAAGTTTTATTGATGTGTTTTTAGTCCATGTCGAAACTCAAAATCAACTTCGATAAAAGCGAGGCTTTTGTTACTAGAGGTAGCTTGGAGGACAAGCTTTGGGTAGCGCCAGAGGCGGAGGACGAAAAAAATTTAAGGTGTGACGAACTCTTAAGTCATTGTTTTTTATGCACACGCTTGCTCGACGGCGACGCCTTAGCCCATGGCCGTTGTCGGCCATCCGCCTCATCCTAGCCAGCCGCCGCCGTGCTTTCTAGGATTGCAGTTGTGTGCGAGTGTAGTTTTTGTTTTGAGAACCGCCCTCTAGGCAGTTTATTTAAGTGTTAGGCGGATTTGCATCTGATTGTACAAATATCAATCAGACAAGCAGGGATTACATCAAGAGACAAAGAGCTAACATCAATATTAAGCGCGTGCATAAGCAGCTCCATTCGCTCCTCTCTTGACCCATTTTGGAGATAGATTTTCATCTGCCTAAAACCTTGCTTCGTGCGTGTGTACTTGGTTAGTGGCTTCGTGCGTCAACGCTCTGGCTGGTTCATGGATCGTGTGCACCACATGCGCCGCACAAGGCTCTATGTGTTTTTCTTTGCATCCTGTTGAATGCTTTGTGGTTTCGGATTTGAGGAGTTGCATACTGCACTACCTTCTCAGCGACTACAGTCAACAGAGTGGTTTTCCAGTCTGGTACTGTGTGTATATGACACCTAAATCCCTGCTATATTTACATTACCGTAGAGGAAGCTGGGATTGAAAGTTTTTTCCGGTTAATATCCCAGCTATTTAAGAGTATTGACTTGGTTTGTTCATGGGCTGCACCTGTGTGGCCCAGTTATTAGCGAACGGCCTCTCGCTCTCGTATATCCATCGATAGAAGTAGATGCATACCTATAAAATTTTCATTCCACCCAATCAAGGTATGGCGGCCACCATGCCTTGCCTACTGGGGTGCTCTGCCAGTGATAGCGCACATGATGAATTGTCAGCTTGGATCCTTGCCTATCAATCACCTTGGCCTCCCTCCAACCAACAAGAATTTGACTATCGAAGACTTTTTGTTTATCATAGACATGGTTTCCGACAAAACAGAGGCTTGGGTAGGGAGATGCCAATCAATTGGCAGCAAATCAACCCTTATCAACGCATCTCTTCCTAGTTTGCTGATGTTTGTCATGGGGTTCTTTTTACTCCAAGATGGGGTTCATGCAAAGTTTGACTTAGCGAGGTCTCGTTTTCTTTGGAACAAGGAATTGGGCAAGCAGAAATACCACATGATACATTGGAGTACCATTTTCTCCTCAAGGAAGTGGGGGCCTTTGGGATTATCAACACCAAGCATACGAACTGGTGCTTGATGGCTAAATGGCCATGGAAGATCCTCACCAGTGAGGGTGGCCTTTGGCTTGATATTATTAAGCATAAATACCTTCAGCATGCACCTATAGCTACTGCTTCTGCTCAACAGGGATCCCAATTCTGGAAAACCATCATCAAGATCTGTCATTTGCTATGCATCGAGACAATCCATACCGTCGAAAATGTCAAATCGACAGTCTTTTGGTTAGACGTGTGGATTGGCATAAGCCTGCTGGCAACTAAGTTCCCAGGCTTGTTTGCGATAGCCCGTTTTCCAAATGCTCTGGTTAGTGACACTTGGAGACACGACTAGTGGCGACCACTGTTTCGGCGAACTCTAGGAGCCGAGGAGGAGAGGATTGGTGTCGCCTAGCAACTATCCTTAGGGATATCATGCTAACCCCAAGCGCGGACTCCTTTCATTGGAAGCTTGAGCAATCTGGACAATTCTCTATCAGCTCATTATATCGCGGCTGGTTATGGAATCAATTCCTATAATTATGAAACCCATGAATCGCGCATTGCATAATGGGGCTGGACAATTTCAAGCTATGGATATATGGAAGGCCAAACTGCCAAGATATTTTTTCCCTTTGGCAGCTAGTGCGTGAGAGACTCGCATCAGGGGTGGAAGTGTAGAAGAGGCATGGAACTGGTGATGGTCTATGCCCTCTTTGTGGAGCGACGGAAGATAATAACCATATTTTTTCTTGCATCATGGCACAGTTTCTTTGGGGATGTATTAGGGACGTCACTCGGTGTAGTTGGGAACTGTCATCTTTCACCGATTTGCACACCCTTAGTGGAAGTCTCTCAGGCCTCCCTTGAAGGTTTGCCTGGATAAGTTTCTCAGCACTTTCATGGACTCCTTAGCAAATTCGTAATAAAGCTTTTATTGAAGGAGTTTTTTTATTAATAATCCTGTTGATGGCCTTTATAATTGATTATCTCTTACAGTTATAAAAGCTGCTCAGCAAGACCCAGGAATCATTGACCATTGAGGCGCTATGCGTCAAGCTTCGACAATATATCATTGTTCTCAGGAAGAGGGCAACAATAACTGTGACTTCTTTCAGAACCTCCGACGACACTTGGAGTGTTTGAGCATTGTTTTTCCTTTTTGGCTTATGAGCCAAGGACCCTCTTGGGTTTGTATCGAACTTTGGTAGTTCTTGTCTTACGTTTTCTTTTTCGTTTATTTGTCGAACCAAGTGTTGTAAAATCTTGAGGGCTTCAGTTCGCTAAAGCTGGACAAACATCTCTTATATATAAAAAAAAGATCAACACTTTACATATGAATTTGGACCATATTACTATTTGTTGTTTAATTACAATATCCTTTGTTTTTTTTACTGTAGTATGCTTTCATATTCTAAATTAATGGACGATGGCTATGTTGTTTTGGAGTACATTTTATACTCACTTTGCACAAATTTTGGTTTCAAAAGGAAATTGACGCCTTTGGTGTTTCTAAAGAAACATGCATGATAACTATGCAAAAATTCTGATCTCATGAACACTTGATGAAGCTCTAAAGAAACATGCAAGATAACTAGGAAAAAATTCTGATGTCATGAACACTTGATGAAGCTCTAATGGCCCTGCAAATACGATGAACAAAACCAAAGGAGAGAGAATAAGAGCACTGTACCGAGGAGTGCCATTATCACCATCGAGGGGCATCACAATACATAGATTCGACATGTTACA